AGTTACGTTAAGTTTAAAGGTTAAAGTTAAGGTAGGTAGGAGAGGTAGGAAGTTAAGTTAAGTTTTAAGTTTTAAGTTTAATTAAGTAGTAGTAGAGAGAGAGAGAGAGAGAGAGAGAGAGAAGAGGGCAAGGTGTGAGAGTTTTCTCTTTGCCACTTACGAGGACACGCAGCTTTCCATGGTGGAAATTCCTTTGATGAAGGATATTTTAGTCATTTCCTTATTGGTAGCTCCTTTCAGCCGTTGATTCCCCCGCTCTCCTAGATCTCACAAATGAAACTATACAAATCTCGTCTTTTACCATCTGTATTGTTCTCTTGGGTTCATAATGTTGTCTGAATATTTAAAAAGGGGAAATTAGCCCCAAAAAAGTCTCTTTTTATTTATAAAACTAAAAAATAATCTCGTTTGTTCTAAATTTATAGTTGGAAAAAGGTTACTTTTATTAATGTGTACTGTATTTTAATCTTATTAACTTTTTTTTTTTTCTATTTATAGGTTTAAACTTAAATTTTGGACATCCTTGTCGTAGCACACTTGTAAATATAAGAGAAGTTTATCAAAATAACTATGAGATATAAATTATTTAACATTTTACTCATTCTTATGATTTAATTTCAAATAACCATGACAAGGAATGGCTGCAAAAGGGTAAATTGTTAAATAATTTGTTTGTTATGTGTATTTTGATAAATTTTCTTAAATACAAATAAGTGAAATAAAAATAACTAAAATTCCCTGTTAATTTTGAAAATTTAAAAGTATTTTGGTTATATTATATTTTAAAATATTTTTTGCAATTTTTGTCAAATGTGAGATGATGGTGAATATCAACTCCCCAAATTTAAGCTCAATCCCTTATACAAAAGAAAATAAAATCATAGTACAACACTCACCTTTTTAAAGTGAGAGTCTAATGTAAAAAAAGAAATATATATAACTATCTTTACTATAGTACAATAGGATTTTTCGCAAATTTTCTAAAAAAAACTTCAAAAACATTTAGCGTGATGACTTCTGATATAGAACATTGTTATTGAAGCATATATATTATTATTATTGTTGTTGTTAGTTGTCGTCCTCGTCTTCTTTATTTATTGTTTTGGCCTCTCAAATCTAGGAAGTATGAATCATGGACAAAGGGTGGTGTAAAAGTGGGAAGCCCACCGGTTTCTCTAGAGAAGTAATAGTTATGATGCCAATGGTTTTGCTTTCAGTCAACGTTCAAAAAAAGGGAAAAAAATGATTTTGCTTATTGTTTATAACAAGAGCCCTCTATCTATGAGCTTTCTTAAGTCTTAATGTGCACACACGTTCACATACCATGCTTTATCTTTTGTGGGCCTTATAGTTAACATGCACACAGTTTAACAAGCTATGGGCCTCATAGTTAACTTTGTACACATGTTCACACGCTATGCTCCATCTTTTGTGGGCCTTTGAGTTAACGTGCACCCAACTAGGAATGTATTTGTCTCGAAAAATTTGACCTATCCCCTTACATACGTGAAAACTAAGTTGCTTTTTGTAGAAGAATTAGAAATAGGAAAATGGCTCTAAAACCTCTACATCGATCATCTTGGTTCGAACATTATGGTTGTGAAAACAAAATTTATGATTTTAAACTCTATAAAGAGTGTATATTATAACAAATTACAAGACCATCTATTTCACCCTAAAAATAGGTGTTTCATGATCCGCAAGATCTATATTGTTTTGAGTTTCATATTTTATTTTCGGTATTGGAAATCGATTTTAGAGCCATTATAAAGACTTCCATTGCCGAAAGTATTTTTGGAGCAAGGATTTGATGGGAGGTTCTAGTTTCTTTTCATAAAGTCTAGGTCTCATGGATACTTCATCTTTAGAAAAATGGTGTTGTGCATTTTGATTTATTTTGGTTTTACTTATTCCTGTCAATGATGTATTTCTAGAAATATGCATGTTGAGGGTTTTTACTCATATATGGCTTGTTGTAGGTGTAACTAATTGCAGTTGAGTAATGTGTTCAGCTAACCTAATGCCAAAAGTGGTTTGCATTAAAAGATGGTGTATTGTTGGTCGTTTGAATAGAGGAAATAACGATTGAGTTGTTGGGCGTTAGGTAATCTAGTGGAATTCAGTCTCATGAAGATAATTAATGCGGGAAATCTATTTTCCCTTTTTGTCACATATGAATTGTGATAAGAAATAGGTCATTGGTAATACTATTTTTTAGTAATTTTCAACTCTCTTATCTTGATTGGACAACTATAGATCTTCAAAAACAAAAAAAATCACGTGTGAAGACGCATGAAAAAGTTCTCTCTATCTTATAGTTTATTTATCACTCTGATTTGCACTTTATTTTGTAGATTTTATTTATTTATTTATTTTTATTTTTATTTTTTTGTGGTTGAGATTAGTTGGTGGATAAAGACCCAGAGGGTGCAATGGAGTTATTCAAAATGGCCATCGAGTCAGGTGATCGAGTGGACAGCGCTCTAAAAGACATGGCGGTGGTTATGAAGCAACAAGATAGAGCGGAAGAAGGCATTGAAGCCATCAACACTTTCAGATGCCGTTGCTCTAAGCAAGCGCAAGAGTCTCTAGACAATGTCCTTATCGATCTCTACAAGGTAAGAATACAGGCAAAATATTAATTCATAGGAATCCTTTTCTATGAATAGATAGAGAAGTAACAGATCTCTTTCTAAAAATAAAATCATTTGGAGGGAGGCGTGGCTTTTAAAGATTTTTAGGCCAGGGGTTGCTCTCATATTTTAGTGACTAATTAAGTATAATTTTGGAATTTAGTACATATTTGAACATTTTCCCCTTTTCTTTTATTGTTTTGTAATAATATTTTACATGAAGATATTCTACTCCTTTAGGAGTATACTTTTCATTTAGCCCCTTGGTTAAAACCCTACCTTGGATTAGTTTTAGGACCCCAAATTTTGGAGATATAACATCTTTAACACACAGATTAACTTCAACTAAAAAAATTGTAATTGCACCCTCTAAGCACTAGAAAAATAATAATGTCTTGAGATTGAATAGAAACCATCCACTTTTTAGGGTGCAAGAACTGTGTTAGAAAACTCAAAATTTGATTATTATTTTGTTTTGAAAATAATCATCTAATGATTCTAAGGTGGTTATCAAAATTTTAGATCGAAAAAAATCTTCACAAGAAGGTCATGGAACCAAGGGAGTAGAAGTAAACCATGCTTCTGAATGTGTGTGCTCAATATTTTTAAAGAAAAATATAATGAGACCATTTGCCTTTTTACATACAAGGTGGCCACAATTAATCTTGATCAAATGTGCAATTAGGGGGTTCCATTTATTGTATTAACTAAACATGAAGTCCAAAAAGAATTATTATCGAATTTTGTGACAAACTATCTGATTTCACGTGAGATGGTTATGTGTAATTATGATTTTCTTATACCAAATTTTAATGATCTTATTATATAGAATTTCTATTTTTAAATCCTTTTTTGCTAAAGTAGTTGTGGGCTCATGATCACCCTCAATATTTTTGGATTTAGTCTAGTATTGATAACTTATAATGTTATTTGATTTTGGCAAAGTTTCCTAACCTCTTATCAAATGCGGAAGGGGCCCTTTGAAAGCTTGGTGCAAGGATTTATCACTTATTGAAGGGTTGGGGGGCTTTTTGGTCATTATCTGTCTCCTATTTTGTGCAGAAGTGTGGGAGAATAGAGGAGCAAATAGAGTTGCTAAAGCAAAAGCTGAGGATGATATATTTGGGTGAGGCCTTCAACGGAAAGCCAACCAAAACGGCCCGTTCTCATGGAAAGAAGTTTCAAGTCTCCATCAAACAAGAAACCTCAAGAATTTTGGTAAGTTCATAACAAAATAACATTAAGAATATTTTAGTGAGGAATTGATGGTGGTTTTAAACACATGTAAAATTCAAATTTTAAATTAAAAAAAAAAAGAAAGAAAGAAAAAGAAAAGAAAAGAGAAAGAAGAAAAAAGAAAGAGAGATGATTTGAATGTAAGCTTTCATGTGGCAAGATGACAAATAGGGCTGTCAAGTGGGTTGTGTTGACCTGGCGGGCTTACCCGAACAAGAGTCCGGGGCTGGGTACATGTGTTGGATCCAACGGGTCGGTCCAGGTCTAAATGATTGTTACTCCACTTTGGGTCGGGGTTGGTCAGACCTGAGCCAACCTGGTATATAATATCATACAAGTCTTTAAATTTCAAGTATGGGTCTAAATGACTTGGAGCGGACCTTGGTCTAGTCGGGTTTAAGTCCATGTGAAACCTAGTCTATCAGCTCGGGATAGGTACTGACCCAAACCTCCCGACCTTTGCCACCATTAATGACAAACTAGATTCCATCTTTGATAGCTTTGCATTCTATGGGTTTGGAGCAGCGTAACTCGAGTTAGTCCCAAGATCCATTCAGGTCATGTATAAACCCATAGAAGCTTAAATTTCTTTTAAAATTACAAAAGTTTCATTAAAGATAACACCAAGAAAATAAAATAAAATAAATAAAAAACTAAACATAAAAAAAATAAAAAGTCTAAAAATTATAGGAAAATATATAAAGTATGGGTAAGTGAAAATCGAGCATATAATAAAAACACTCAGATTAAAAAAAATTGCGTATAGACATATTTTATACATTGATTTTGTAAAGTTTATATTTTTTGTGGGATATGTATCAAAATACACTCAAGGGATCAACTATTTAATATTTTTCTTATATCATGAGTTTGAATAGTTGTAAAAAGGTAAAATGTTAAATTGTACAAACATGAGTATATTTTGGTAAATTTCCCAATTTTCTTATTTGTCCAATACCACAAAGAAACTCTTCGAGCATTTGTATTAAATGTGTATTAACTGTCAAATGCATATGATGTCTTCTTGAATTATTTATGTTTTCCTGTGTAACAAAGGTTTTTTTTTTTTTGAACCTTAACCATGAAATCCTCTTTAACGAAGTTGTTCATTGCAGGGTAATCTAGGTTGGGCATACATGCAAAGAATGAACTACATGGCAGCCGAAATCGTTTACAGAAAGGCTCAACTGATAGACCCTGACCCCAACAAGTCCTGTAATCTCGGCTTCTGCCTCCTCAAACAAGGCAAGTTCCAAGAGGCTCGATCGGTTCTTCGAGCTATAACAAACTCGAGATCGGCAGATTGCAAGTCAATTAGCAGAGCTGAGGAATTGTTGAGAGAGATAGAAACTGAAGCTCCAGGGTTGGAGGACACAGAAGAGCTCATATTTCAGGGATTCGAGTCATTTGATAATTGGATTTTGAATTCAAATGAATTGAGGCCGAGGAGATTGCCAATATTTGAGGAGATCATGCCTTGCAGAGACCAAGTGGCTTGGTGAAATGTGTGTAATTAAGGTTGTTAGAGAGAGAAAAGAATAGGTTAGAGAGAGAGAGGATTGTTAGAATTATGCTTGAAGAGGAGGGTGCGAGGGTCCAAGGTGCTGCTAGTAATAAGGAATTTCTTTGTATATATGGACAATAATAAATTTGAAAGGTTTTTTGGGTGCCATTGAGCAATTCTTTTTCAAATCTTTGGGCTTACACATTTCTCATCCATTTTGCACCTGTAGGACTATAATATGTTCCAGAACTCGGATGTGGTGGCCAGATAAGTCACCAGTTGAATCCGGTTTCCTCAAGCAACACCAATTTCAATTGGATCTGGCGTTTATTATCATGATCTAAAATTTCCTTCTTTGCTTTCTTCACACCTCCTGTTCCCTGATCGCTACTAAACTCATTGGTCTCAACCCTAGCGCTCTTTGGCCTCACAAAAAATTTATTGCTCTGTAAATACCCATTTGTACCAGGACCCCTAGGGGTTTGTAAACCTATGCCATCATACATGGCTGGTAGAAACCTTCAAAATTGGTAAGAAAGCTTCGAATTAGGCGGACAAGTAGCAAAAACAAACCCTAAAGTTGGCGGTGTGGGAGATAGAGAGAGGGATTGAGGGAAGGAAAAAGGGGAAAAGCAGCATAGGGATTTAGGGTTCTTCAATATCAAGTTCTTGCCCTCTAAAAATTGGATGTTCATTCTTCAGTATCATGACACATTACTTTTTTTTCTTTTAAGAAGATACTATTTGATATTTCCCTTTTATCTTTTTCAACGTTCAATAAGTTATATCCTCAAAGTCTTAAGAATATTACCGTACGATGGAGAAAATGGACAATATGTTCCAAAAAAAAAGCAAAATATCTTCTCAATGCGACTTTTAAGATTAAGATATTAAACTATTAAGAATTTACTTTAAATTGGCTATCGTTCTTGCATATAGAATTTTATGATGAAATTATAATCTTTTCTACCCTTGTAGCTGCGGGGCAATGACACATAATTGACAGTCATGCATACGTCGGAAGTTGGGAGCAAAGTGGACTGGTAAACACATATCACCTGATGAGAAAATTTGTACTCGATTATGATGGGAAACGTGATGAGCCAAGAAGAAAGTACCTTAAAGAACGTCAGCTTAACAAGCTTAAAGAGAAAAACAATAATCATAATGGCGATGGTGAGGTTAGTGATGAGGAGGATGATGAATATGACTTGAAGGTTGATGAGAGCAAGCACATGGATTTTGCGAAGGCAGAAAAACGTGTGCACACTACAGGAGGTGGAAGCAAAGGAACTGTTAGGTAGTTTTTCTTATGTCTCAGTGTTCCAGGCACTTTTTTATTTTGGATTTTTAATAAATGAACGAGTTTCAGTTTTGGCAAGTCGTGTGATGAAGGGTAAATTTTGATATTTCACATATATAGGAACATATCAGTACTGTACCTAGAACATGTGCATAGATCTTGCAGATTGTCTAAGAACAAAGATCAAGATAACATGTGCATAGATCTTGCAGATTGTCCAGAACAAAGATCAAGATAACATGTTTTCATATGACTATTTTATTTTTCAAGACATCTTATCCAAGCTTTTAAAATCATAGAATCAAGAGAAAAAAAATTGTTTAAAATTGAGCTTCTCGACAACCTGCATGATCTCTACAGTTCTTTTAGGCACTGACATTTTATTTTACCTTTCTGTGTGCTAATCTTTAATGAAATGGTTTTATAAGAATTTGCGTATCCGAGAGGACACAGCAAAATATCTTTTGAATCTGGATGTTAATTCAGCACATTACGACCCAAATGCGCGATCCATGCGAGAGGATCCTTTACCGGATAGTGATCCAAATGAAAAGTTCTATGGAGTAAGTGTCTTGGACTATATTTGCCCCAACTGGCAGGGCCAAAGGTGTTAATGGCAGGCCTTGAGATGCCGCTATATTCTTATGGGTGTGTTGTATTTTTTAGGGTGATAACCGATACAGAGTCAGTGGGCAAGCATTGGAGTTTAAGCAACTTAACATGCATTCCTTGGAGGCTTTTGAAAAAGGACAAGATATTCATATGCAAGCCGCTCCATCTCAGGCTGAGTTGCTCTGCAAAGAATTTAAGATCAAAAAAGAAGAATTGAAGTCTCAAGTGAAAGATACCATTACGGACAAGTATGGAAATGCTGCCTCTCAGGAAGAACTTCCTAGGGAACTTCTCTTAGGTCAAAGTGAGAGAGAGGTTGAATATGATGGTGCCGGAAGGATTATAAAGGGACAGGTGAGTTCTTTCTTGTTTTATAATAAGGAACTTGTCTAGTGTCTTCTTTCGTTTGTGTAGCTTCTTTATTCTGCAGTAACTATATGACATTTTAGTAGTGAAGCTCAATTTTTATTGTCACTTATTAAAAAGAGAAAAGAGAAAAAGATGGATGGAGCTTTTATTGAACTAGATGAGTCTTCATACTTTTGCATCTAATCTATGTTTTTAGCTTTTGTTCTAACCATGAAATACATCAAGTATTGTTACTCCATAATTTGTTATTTTATTTGCATAGCTCACACTTTTGTAGTATATTTATAGGAGAAATCTCTTCCCAAAAGCAAATATGAGGAGGATGTATATATCAATAATCACACAAGCGTATGGGGTTCTTGGTGGAAAGACCATCAATGGGGCTACAGGTGTTGCAAGCAAACAATAAAGATTAGTTACTGCATTGGTTTAGTTGGAATTGAAGCTGCAGAAGGTGCAAATGATCTCATGAAATAAAACATGGCACGAAAAGAAGCCTTAGAAGGTTTGTGGAATGCTCAATGCTCTCTCTGCTGGTTTGAATGTGTAATTCTTACTTTTCAAATAATTTGCATTCCTTGATTAGGCATGTATAATTCTTTTTTATCAAACAATTTGCATTCCTTGGTGATAATCTATGATGTTGCAACTTGTTTTGTAGAGAACCTGTACCGGCTGAGGAGAATAATATTCGGATCTCAGAATTGGACCGGAATAATATTTGGACCTGGATCCGATCCACCGGGTCCAATTCTTGGACCCATACCCGGACCCAAGTCAGGTCCGGATCCATTGCCAACCCTAACTTTCCCATACTGTAATGCAAGGGATCGTGGTTTACAATGAAATTATATATAGCTGCGATACCTGTTCATTCGGGATCATTTCCTAGAGAAAGTAATTTGAATCAATATTCCGGCACTCTATATGAAATATATCAAACCAAATTGAGGCGAGAGCAATGCTGTGTCAGACTAGCCACATCCTTCTAATTCGTAGTTCCAAATGTAAAGAAGCTTGAACTAAGTCCAGCGACTGAACAACTCTTATTGCGATTGCAGGTCACTGCTGAGGATATGGAAGCTTACAGGATGAAGAGACTTCACCACGACGATCCCATGAAAGATTTTTTGCACTTATTAAAGGCTAGCTGAAAATAATTATGCCTGGCAAAGTCAGCTTGTTAGAAAGCAAGCTTATCTTGACCTAAAGCTTCCGGGTCTTTGGCTGGAGTTTGGAATTGCAGAGGCTACTCCAAGAGCAAAATGAGATTTTACATTGGCATGTACACATTGTTAGTGAATTTTTTATATATGCATGTATATATATATACCTTCCATTTCTATCTTTTGTGGATGGTTTTATAGAGCGAGTGTTAAATCTTGGGGGTTCCGTATTGCTTACTGGTTTTTATAGATGTTCTTGTCAAGTAGCTAATCGTTTCAGGTTTCTCTTATTATTCAGGGTTTTTAACATAAAATCATTTTTTTTTCCTACTACCCTGGGAGTACAATGTACATCTACTCCCGCCAGGAAACCCGACCTAGAGTTTAGGACCCAATTTGTCGAAAAGTAACCTCTTCAGACCTAGAGATTAACCTCAATAAGTAAGTTAATTGTACCCTCTTATTCAATTGAAAAAGATAATATCTTAAGATTGAATAGAAGCTATCAAATTCTTAGATAGTGAGATATTGGTGTTAGAAAATTCAAATTTCAATAGAGAATAATCTTCGAGTTATTCTCTAGTGATTTTCAAAAATTTTCATAATGAAAACATGCGCCCAAGTTGCCCCTTTATAATACTTAAGATCTCACTCTAAAAAAAATGGGATGGAACTCTCTTCGATCCTTAAATGACATTTGCACAGAGACCCAAAAATTTGGGATCTTACAATTACTCCTACATTTATAGTTTATAGTTTTACTTGAGAGTGTAACATTATTTATAAAAAAGAAAAGTATATGATGAGAACATTTATCCTTTCTACAAGGTCACAATTAATTGTAACCATTGGACCTAGGTGGCTGTATTTATTTTATTAATAAATAATTGTGACCTCTCTATTTCAAAAGTAAATGATCTCATTGTATACAATCCCTATAAAAAATATTGCAATATGCACTATCTATGGGACTCAAAATTTTTTTTTTTTTTTTCATATTCATATATCTCAATATCGAGATGATCCAATCGAGGTTTTTTCAACATTAAAA